CCGCCTAAAGATAAAAATAAAAATTACATGCTTGCTTTTAATTTCATCTACTTATTACTTACCTACCTACATTTCATGCGGGTACATTATCTAAATATACACTTTTTACACCTACCATTACACTGGGAGTGCCCGACTGTGCCCTTTTTCGGTGTGTAAATCAATAATTTTGCCATCAGGGTAAAACCTCATTTAGTTAACTAACACTGCTATAGACAAGAACATGGCGTGAGCGTTATAATCCGGCTCGCCTATTATGAATTTCATAAGAGAGTTAATTTAAGCAGTTCGCTTGGTCACCCGAGCGTGTTGCTGATATCCACCAACTACTTACACTGTCCTGTCAGACGTGTTCCATTACATCCTCATGTGAGTGGTCGACACGATTGTCGTGATTTTACAGGTATTACGTCACTATAAATATTGATTTTACCAGTGTGTAAAATGGTTTGTCAGTTCAGTTCAATTGAGACTTTACGTCGGAGACATTGTGCTTAGGAGTCGAATGTGATTAAGTGGAAAACTTGAAGAAAGTCAATCGGTGCAAGGGAGTGATCGCCGGCGTGAAGCAGGCGTGAAGCGGGCGGAGCAGATGGTCGCGGGTCGAGCGCGTCACGGCGGAGGGCTGTGCGGGCTCAGGCGCGGGGTGCGCGGGCAGGTCGCGCGCCTCGCCGCCGCCGGGCTTCGATCGCGAGCTCTTCCAGGAGTTGAGCTACCTGCCCGACGCGGAGCTCCGCGAGTGTCTCGGAGAGTACCCAGACTTCCTGTACCACGTCGCTCGGGACAAATTTGGCCGACTTTACTTTCGCGTCATCAGGACCTTGCTCCTTGATAGAGGTACCTATATCATCATGTAGATGGGTACTTTTTTCATTGTCGATCACCTCATCGCTCTCTGCAACCTCCTTGTCTGAATATCATTTCGCTTTTCTTGATCTCTGCAACGCGGTGATTTGCATACTTACCATATCCTTTAGTCTACTGTGCTTTTACTGCTACATATTCACGAGAATAATAAAATTATATTAAGTGCCTAATTCTCTCATCACTCGTTTATATTAAACTCAGCTAAATTGTAATATTAACCACTATAACATGCAACATTACTAACCCTCTCTGCATCGCTTAATAATCGATATCATTAACTAAGTATTGTGTTCTTCCCATAAAGTTAAAAATAATGTAGAATAATAAAACATGCGCAGCGTTCCAATAAGAACTCAACTCCTTTTTGTTTTATGTGTGAGCTAACAATTATAGTAACTTCCCAGAGTTGCCAGATTCTCTAGTTTTATTCTTTTTTCTAAGCACAAACTTGCATTCAATTTGTATGCACATAATTTATGTTAATTAAGAACAATTAAGTTGCTAATTTGATGCCTTTTTAATTCGATGCCGAATCTTTAAAAAGAATGACTTTATTTTCTTTTTTTATTAGGATTCAGATCAGTTTATTTTTTGTCTGATTCCGCACTTTAATATGATAGGATAGTTGAAAGATTATTTGGGTACCTACGTATTTCTATACGGCAACACTGGGTAGAATCTAACTGGAAATATGTAACAAAAACTGTGAAAGTCTTTCAGTATCTTGTGTACGAACACAATCAATATCCGTTGTTATACCAGAGTGAGGTAAGACTGGGAAATACTTGCCTACCTGCGCCTGCGTCGAATTCAATGGAGCTATTATATCAGTCAGTTCCCATAAGCTTTTTACTTAGGAAAGCAGCTCTGCTGTTATAGCATTTTGTAGCTCGTTAAAGTTTATGTTGTATACCGTTAAAACGCTCATCTTCATAAATTGCGCGACATACTCGGCACACCTACGATTAACTTCAATGCATTTTCTTCGGCACTTCGTATGTTAATGCCTTATTTTACTGCATTGACAGACCGATATAAAATACTTAATGTACATTAAAAAAAATCACGTGAGAATCGAAAGCGATTTAATCGAGACAATGCGTTTAGCGAAACATTAAAAATCGTCAAGTTATCTGTACCTATGTAAAAAATGTCGATGTGTGTTTGTTTTGTAACTCTAGTGTTCCCACAGAATAGATTTACAATAGAAATGCGTGTTTTGTCTGCCCTCCGCAAAAGCGCCATGGAATCCACAGTTCCACACGTCATTGCGTAGTACGCGCGCTCCTCAGTCACAGAGTTGATCGGGAACTTCACGCTCGTATTTGTCGTTTTGTCGTTAACGTTGCTAGTGTAGTGCTAGTGTTGTTTATCGATGCAACATCTATAGTGAGTGCCGTTCCTCGAACCGCTGGTTCATGTGTAATGTTGCATTAAGAGTTTGAACAATAGGGGTTCGATGAACGCACAGAGGCCGAATACACATGATGTACCCCCGGGTTAGTAGATAACTTATAAGTAGAACAAGCAATTGTAATCACAATAGGTGAATGGTAAATAAAGAGCGCAAATTTTAAAATTCAATGATATCTTATCAATGTGATTGAAGCGGGCAAGCGGCAAACGTAAACGTTATTCGGTGTTTATAGTGCGTGCTTACACGATGTTTTGTGATCTTTTGTGATTTTTAGTACTTAGTGTTTTTCAAATTATTGGACTATTAGCCTAATGTGTCTGTGGCCAATTACTGTGATCGTTTGCATGTTTTAAAACGTAATATCATGCACGAAAGACCTAAAGTTAAGCTGAAAAAATGTTTTTAACGTGCAAACGTTTTTACAAAGCCTCTTCGTGTGGGATTACCAGCACTATAAACACACCGAGTTATTCAACTAGCACGGGTTTGATTTTTAAATCTTATTTAAGTGAATATTAGCGATTCAATTACAAAACACTTCTGTTTAACTTTCTACAACAAAATGGTACCTATCTCTTTATTCTCAATTATGATAATTTTATTAACACTAAATTACGCAAATTATTTTTTGTAAAAAAAACGTTTCTCTGTTTTTAAAAGTAGTTTTGTGACTTTAATACTTCAAATATGTACCTATAATTTTATTGTAAATAATTTGATCGATACTATTTCTTGTTATGTATATTCTTGTATACAAATTATGTGCCATTTAATTAAATTGTTAAAATAATTTTCGTATAACGTTTACTTGTGCATATTTCAACATTATTATCTTAGTTCATTGAATCATTAAGATACTTCGGGTAGGCAGTAAAAACTTTAAAACCTAGCTTAGCTCAATACGAACCTGTATTGCGGTATACAAACCACATCTAGGTCAGCATCCGATCGATTGTTGTATTAATAGGACAGCTATTAGATGAATATAGACTCTGAAGCTATTTCGGTTCTTTCAAACACAAAATATTGATAGACTGTGGCCCCTTTGAGGATTATCTTTGGAAGGTTACGGGCGAGATCTACGTGTCTTAGAATAGAAGTTTCCTGAGACTTAATTTGAACTCGAAGTTTTGACAAGTTTGTTGTTCTAAACTAATAATAGTTAGAACTTGAATCTAGTCGATTTTGGCAGACTACCGATAGCTACAGATTTGATTGTTAACTTCTCTAAAGCAATAGAAATTAAGTTTTTATTACTTAGTTACAGAAATAATTATGTGGTAGACGATATTATGATAAGATATTATCGAGCGCCGACTAATAAAAGCCCTAGGAAAACCTGTGTATATTTTGAAAATTGACATAATGCATGTTAAGTGGTCGTGATGTTTTAGCGCAGGCGTTTCTATTTGATTAGATCTTAAACAAAATTATCAGACTGACGTTACACAGATTCAGCCTAGCGTCTGGCCAATAGTGCCAATAATAGATTTGTTGGCGAAAATACCGTTTAGCAAATACCATACAAAAATAGAAAATATATGGATGTAATATTTTTTTGCCTGACCACTGTACCTTAAGATACCTTGAAGAACCTATTAAAATGTATACACTTATTCAAATTTTAATTGTGGATAACATTAATCAAGAGGAAACAAGTCCCGATATCTTGACTTTAATTAAAGCAATGAAAGCTGTTTATCTAGATATCTATTTGATCGTGTTTGGTATCAGTAATAAGCTTACTCCAGGAATGTACTTATCAAGCTGGTCGGATCCGGTTCTCTGGCACAAAATATTTATTATAAATTTCCCATGTGGTTATACTCAGTCGACAGAGTAGCCACCAGTATCGTAATCGTTTGATGAAGTGTGTTTTGTAATATGTTGTACGACCCTACACATTAGTCATCGGTTATAACCTCATAAGTTTTTTTTCTTAGGCGTATCGAAACGTAGCGGACAGACACATCGTTTTTGTGTCTTCTTTGAGCATAGTCATTTCGTAGATTTAGTGGTAATAGATATATTTTTCATTGACCGTACCGTTCGTAAACTATAAACGTGTTTTATCACGTTTACGTTTTAAACACGTTACACACTGCACGGTTGGTGCGGTGGCTGGGCAACTGGCTGCCGTGCAACGTGTCGCGGGTTCGATTCCCGCACGGAACAACACTTTGTGTGATCCACAAATTGTTGTTTCGGGTCTGGGTGTCATGTGTATGTGACATTGTATGTTTGTAAACGCACCCACAACACAGGAGAAAATCCTAAAGTGGGGCTATGTTTTTTATAAAAAAAAAAAAAAAACAAAAAAAAAAAACATTCCAAATCAATTAGATAAAATCAATTGTTGTATAATTTAAAAAAAAAAACATACAATTACACTTCAAATTCAAAGAGTGACTTGACTATTTTCTTTCAAAATGAATGTAGGTGATTCCAGGTGTAGATAAATAAGTCGTAGGCACTTTTTGTATAAGTATCTATAAAACCGCACTCACACACACTACCAATGAAAACACTTTCAATTAATCTTCATCGACACAGATAATATAAAGTATGATTACTTGTATCTACACTTAAGTCACATTATTGTATGTCCACATTCCCGTACCATGAACTGTATATAATTTGCGCTTGCTTTAGAACTGCTATGTTTATCCACAGCATAGAGTGTGCCGTTTGCTACATAGCCGTGTTCTTTTTGCAGTTCTATGCAGCAACAGGGTGAGCCAAATGACAAAAACCTACAATGACATCGAAGCGGTAACACGGCTCTTAGAAGAAGTAAGTGTGCTGTTTATTTTGCTAATGTAATTCGGCTTGAGAGGTTGCGTAAATTGGAGTCCAAGGACTTCAAGATAACTCTACGTTGGTTTCCAACTGGTTTTTGTCACAAGTCTTGTATTCAGTGTATTTATGAACGGGTTTTACTCTTCGATACTTAGGTCTTGTGCCTTTCGCTTTAATATTTGGCGCCTTTTTATTTTTATTTGACTTTTCCTACATAGAAACAGTATTGTAGTAACATTACATTCAGTAAAACTAAGCAAGTCGTGGAAGGTAAATTATTTTATTTCTAATGCAATTTAATCCTTTGCAGAAAGAAAAAGATTTAGAGCTAACGGCTCGCATCGGAAAGGAATTGTTGACTGCTAATGGTCGTTTGGAAGCACGAGTCACCGCGCTCGAGGGCGAGTTGCGAAGCGCGCGGGATCACATTACTCAGCTGAGGCACGACCTCAACGCAAAAACAGACTTACTACAGGTAAACACGACTTAAAATGTTTTGTAGGTATTTCCTTAAAGCAAGCCTCAAGATTTTGCGATAACTGTAGGAACTAAGGATTACTTTGTTTATGATTTTATTTTATTACTAGATGAAAAGAATTTCGTTGTAAAAAAAGGCAAAATAAGTATATTTTTTCCCCAAGCTTCCGCAGTTTATTCAGTCGCGGTAATATAGATTTACTGGAAGTGCAAAAAGCTTCCTAAACTTTTATATTTTTTTGGCCCGTTACTCTCACGAGTCGCCCTCTTTTACTCCTCATAAATTCATTAAAAAGGTTCAGTCTTTGGACTTGAAAACAAAACCAATTACTGTGATAGTAGTTAGGATAATAGTTGATACTTTAATGCGTTTATTTTATTTAGTTCTTATTCTCACGTTGAATTTTACCACGTGAACTAGCATTTTATAGTCCTTATCCTTATGATGATATCATCAAAAGCAATCAGCTTTATTGTCAAGGAAAATTAACCGGCATTCAATTACCTACTTACAAAAATATCTTTGGTTTAAATTGTCTAGCCACCTGGGACAGGCTCGCAGGATTGTGGTCGTTTTACTACAATCTCCAATAAGCCTGGTAGCATCCACCTCCATAACAGACTGTGATTTTGAGGGTGAATTAAGAAGGAATTATGGTACGTGCAGGTTTTGACCAATGACACAGAGGAGTGCTCATCTCCCGAGGAGCAGGAGGCTGCTAACGCGGCGTTGCTGCGGAAGCGGACCGGCGCACTCGAGCGGGAAAATCGAGCGCTGCGCGAGGAGGCCGCGCGCCTCGCCGCCGGCGCTGACACCGCAGAGCTGGCTGAACGACAGCTGCTTAGGGACATCGCCAACCAGCTCGGTGAGATACCACTTATTTTACTTCCTACACCAACTTCCTTATAACATGACCTTCTGAGACTCTTATTCCTAGGAACAGAATGGCATAAAACCAGTCTATGACAGAGAATGAAAGCTTAATTTTTAGGACGGAAGATGACATTTGTGTCAAAAAATATGTCAAACTGATAACAACTTCTTTATTCATTCGATTGTACTATTATTTTTATTTTAACTAGAGGGACTTTAGGCACCATTTTTGTGATTATTTTGCCGGTAGTGTGTGAATGAATCACAAGACATTTGTATAGGTATAATGTAGAAAATAACTCTGAACTCTTGACTAAGCATTGGAATGTTATCGAGTCTTAAGTAAATGATATGGTATGCCGTGTCTAATTTCGATTGGTTCACATTTTCTTTTATCTTTGCCAGAATTTGGTATTCTTCTAGAAGTTTCTAAGTTTTAAGGTGTGTATCTTAATGATGTGTAATTGTAACATGATAATTTTTGTTTATCTGGTTTTAAAATGTTGCTGTATGTTATGTGTTGAGTATTACGAACCATGGTGTAATTATCTCTGTTAAATGAAACTTCACTTCCTACAATATCTTCTCAGTACCACGATTCCGTGTGCCAAGATTATTCTCACGAAGTTCTTTTCCGTTTGTTAATACATAATAGCTGTCTTTAAATGCCATGTCAGTGAAATTGACATTTACAGTATTTTATTACTTTGCGATCATTCACTTGTACCTACGTAACTTAGCAATAGAACAACCGTCGAAATAACGAAAAACTTTTTCAAATAATCGTATTTATTTTATGAAAAATATTATTATTACTTAATGCGTATTTGCTTAAGTTCCCTTCCGATATGAACCAGGTGCGTAATCCTTATCACTGTAAAGGTCGATCACATAAGTTACTTGTGCATTCTATGTGTGCGTATAGTGTGTTAAGAATATAAGTGTATATTTCAACACATACGAGATGTCAACGCAACTTTATAGGTATTGAGCTCCGGCTACTTTTCTTAACGATAATAGCGTTTATATTCAATCAATGATATTGAATTATGTCGCAAGCTATGTGGAGATGATGACATATTACTTTATGTAATACCGTTATTTATCTTAGTGTCTTGGTAGACGGTAGTGTGTTGTATTACAAGACAAATTGCGTTCACTGTACGATTGTTTTGTTTCGTCTAGTTGTTAGAAGGTCGTTGATTAACGTTATCAGTCAAACGAACGACCTACAACAGGATTTGCGGCCCACTTTACCTTAATATAATTTAGACTATCTAGATACTAAATGATTGATAAAAATAATAAACAATCCAAATAAGCCTTCTTTTTTATGTAGGTACCCTGTACAGAAAAATATTAAATAATTAACATTTTATGCTTTAAGATATTTACTGTTCTAAACAATTTTCATGTGATATTTATTGTTCCTTATCTAAGATAAAATATTCATATCGTAGACGGTAATGAGGTCAGCAGTGTTGTAGTTTGTACATAAAATTAATAATATGTCTTTGGCATAAAAGTATGGTGTACTAATAAGTCCAATCACTGTTTACTAATTAATTATGATATGGTTAAGACCGAAGTCTAAAATTATTATTTTAATCTTTAATTTTGTTACGTACCTTCATACAGTGAATACCCTAAAAATTATCTTAAATCTCTGATAAACATAATTAGGAATGAAAATGATTTATGCTCAACTTATCCATACCAAGAATTCCCTAGGCCTTACTTATCCAATAAGACCAAGATTTAAAAAAACTTATGTACTTATTTTATTACACTAAAAATATTATCAGTGCAGTCAATTTTACTATTGTAACTAGTTTAGTCTTGGGCTTAAAGTGGAAAATTCTAGAATTTTACATAATTACTTTCACAGTTTTATGTTACCATGGAACTAGAAACATTAAGCTGCGCAAATGCGGGCAAACAATAAATTATTAACTGATCTTGTCTCTTGTTATTTGAGTAAATGTTTATCTAAAATGGTTGACGTCAGTTTTCGAATCAAGCCTCAATGATTGTTCTTAAGTTTTTTTTCGCAAATGGTGACATTGACATACTAGAATAACAACTTACACAGTTTGCTAGTGCCGGAAGTCATTTTCAAATCTTTGCGTTTGCATGTCGTTAGATTTTATTAAATTAAATTACTATTATTGTAAGTTTATTTCAATCCAAACTAATATTATAAATTCGAAAGTAACTCTGTCTGTCTGTTTGTCTTTTCCCCACGCCTAAACTACTGAACCGATTTTTGTGAAATTTGGCACAGACATTTTTATACCTAAAATCTGCAGGAAGTCACTATTCCACGCGAACGAAGTCGCGGGCAAAAGCTAGTAGTTTATATTTGAATAGTGATAACTTTATATAGGGAAAGTGTTCAATATTATTATAATGTCACAATTGTATCACATAATTTAACCTTGTTTTGAGCTTGTTTTGTTTTATGAGCTTAGAATTCAATAACATCAGGTACAAGTAGAATATATTTACTTCATTTATCAAACACATTTAAATTCTGATATTATAATTATACTGAGTACTCTTTGGAACACTTGATAGAGATAAATACTCTTATATCATAGTAGTGTTGTTGTATTTTAAGCATAAGAAAACAGGTTTGTCTTGGTTCCGGAAGCCGAATGAAAGAAATACGAAGAAAAATGGTTGAAGAATTATTTAATATGAGCTTGGTGACTCAAGGTGGCCTAGCAGCGTGTTTTCTCTTAAGGTTTGCACCCTGTCAGACCATACTTGTTTCAACATGCTTCTAATCGACATGAGAAGAGAGAACAAGGAAGCTATTTAAGCTAAAACAATGTATGTAACACATGATTGTATAAGCACTTTTATGGTACCGAGAGATGTGTCTTTAATAAAATAAAAAAATGCCATTCCCAACGCTTAAAAATACTTCAAGATCCGTACATCGTTTTTACGTGGTTTTTGTTAGATTTAACAAATTGAGAGCATCCCTTTTAAAGATTTTATTGTATAACATTCCTTCGATATCCAATTTTGAATTTTATGCTTTTCGTATATCATGTATCAATTTTTAGGTACATGTTTTATTTGATATCATGTGGTTTCTTTCACGTATTTTCAATATTTACTAAGGCTGCTAGTTTTATAGAGTTGTGTATAAAATACTATTACTCATCTTTATTTCAACCTTACTGTTTTAGCAATAAGTGTTTGAATAGTATAGTTTTATGACTCGCTTATATATGGCTCTGGAATTCCATCATAAAAGTGTTTTATGTAACACCTATTTATAACTTTTGTTAAATTTCCAGCCAGTGCGAATTCGGAGGCGAGCGCATTGGGATCGGAGTTGGTGGAAGAGCGACAACGTTCGGCGGACCTTCAACATCAACTTGATAATATCAACGCAAGGCTCATCGTCAGCGAGAGAAATTATCAACAGGTATGTGCGTTATGTATTTAAGCTTGACATTTCCTCATGTGCTGAGTCATAGCAGGTCGTGAACTTGAAATGGAGTAACGAATTCTTTAAAAAATATTTTAATACCCGTCTTTTATTTTATAAGTACTTGGACGCCGGACAGTTACAATGTTTAACACATGTGTCGCTGTGCCATATGTTTTAATTTGAACTGGCGTTGAACTTGTATCAATAATTATGTTTGAAAAAAATGTTCCTGAAGAACCCCTCTGTGGTTCGAAACTAGTAGAGCTTTTCTCATCATTTACACGTGAGTAACCCGCGAATTTTAGTTAATTTAGTATGTCTCACGATAGTTATTATAAAAACAAAAATGTTCCTGTTGATTGTTCCGACTTTATGTACGTAATCTAAACTTAGTCGAGTTTTCTTTTAATGTAAAACAAGGGTTTTGTATAATAACGTAGGTACATGATCTGGTATCACAATAGAAGTGAAATCTTTTGAAATGAATAACTTTGTTTAATTAAATAGACCAACAGAGGAATGCGTTAATACGTACACTTTATACGACTCACGTTTTCAAAACATATCATTATCTTAATCTCATTATTGGCTAAATAATTTGATAATTATTATAATAAATAATGATATCTATCATAAAACGTGAATTGCTAATGGATATAAACTGAAATTATCGGTAACACTGTAATGGAACGTGCCTAAAGCGGCTAACCGGATTATGTGAAATGTGAAGCTCTAAATTGTAGACTATCCGATTATCTAGGATAGAACTAACTTAGGCTTCTTAGCCTATGAAGGTAGAAGGTACCTTTTTAAAGTGAACGTTGGTTGATATTATCAAACGAGAGCTACTCTCTCGCGGTTTCATCCGCTGCTCTGCTCCATTTAATCATAGCGTGATGTTTTATAGCCTATAGCACTCAGGAACATTGTAGCTATCTATCCAATGACGTATTATATATAGACACGTCATGAACCAACATCGCGGCGCTTAAAAACGGCGAAAATACTAGATAAATACTAGATAAATACTTCTACGAGTAAAGAAAGGGAAAGAAAATATGACATCGTGTAGTGGAATGCCTTTGCTAGAGGGAGATAAATATACATCTTCAGTTATGCCGACGGCACGTGACCATACCTTCATTCGCCGGCCGCCATAAGATGGCGGGCGCCGGCGTCGGAAAAAATAAAATAAAAATAGGTTGTTTGGTGAACTTACGCATGAAATTACACATTTTTGTCTTTAACTTTTGGAGTATAATTTGTACATCGTCTGAACACACACAACGACATACTTTCTTTATGTTTCGCACAGGTTTCACACACGATATAAATTAAAAACAAACGTAGCGTCGCGCGGCAGGTTGGTGCGTAACTAAGCGCGATGTTGTCAATTGCCTTCATTTCATGTTGTCATTTTAGAGCGCGGACGACGTATCTATAGTTTTATACATCATTGTATCTATCAGTGAAAGAATTTTGGCAATCCGACCAGCGGTTCCAAAGATTACCCCCTACATACAAACTTACAAATTTTACCTCTATTTTTTATTATTATATTTATTGATATAGAAGTATAGATTTATATTTTCTTGTCCACAGTTAAATGCAGAGCACGAGCATACGTTACGGATATTAGAAATAACAAAAGAAAATCAAAATGCTCTCGCAGCCGAGCTCGCTGACACAAAGGTAATTGCGTTCACTGATTATTTAGTTGTTTGTTTTCATTATGAATAATGTTGACAATCATAATATAAATACCAAGTAGATCAGTACGTATTTGAAAGTGATTTGTTTTTGTGTACTTTCTCACGTTGTGTTAATTGTTTTATGTAGTAGGATTTAAAAGGTTTCTTTCGAGTAGTTCCGATTCCTGTCTACCTACATAAGTATACAGAAATCTGGTACATGTGGTATACATCCGCACATCACATGTGACATACTGTAGTAGTTTGATTTGTTCTATTTACATTCTTCTCAGCGGTTTGTTTACGGTACAGGCTGCAAATGAAGAAATAGATTATCTAATGATGTCACTTATGGATACTGCCACACAAGACTTGTTGCGGAGGATTGAGGATTTAGGGATGATACGGGAAGAGGGAAATATGGTTTTTTGATGAAACACATTAGTGAAACTGATCATGAGCAATTTGTGCTGCAACATCAGAGGAATTACGAGCGCGGGCTCGTAATTCCTCTGCCAGCATTTTGTGGCTTAGGGTTTTGGAGATTTAGGGATCGGAAGGGGATGAGGGAGAGTAAAGTTTGACCCTCCGATATCCTCACTCACACTGCGAAATACAACGCTGTGGTCGTTTCGCGCCGGCTTTCTGTTAGGCCGTTGTATTATGCTGGTCAAGCCAGCTCGTTCATGCCGAAGCATGAGTAGAGCCCTCCTACAATTGAGTGATGTGTAGTGAATAAAAGATGTGTTATTTGGTACAGGAGCGTTACATGGAGGTGGCGGCGCACCTGTCGGAGGCGCAGGAGCAGCTGCGCGCGCTGCGGCGGCGCGGCGAGGCGGTGCGCGGCCTCATGCCCAGCGTGGCCGCCGCCGCCGGCCTCGTGCCGCCCAGTCTGCATCGCGAGATGCACTCCTCCATCTACTCCGAGCTCAGCCTCGACTCCGGCATCGGCGATCCTCTCGCACAGTAAGTTCTATACTCACTTGGAGATAGGTTGTATTAACCCGTGGTATGTCGGAACACTATGAGTTTTTTATTGTGTCTCATATACTGGCAGACAAAAGGTTAATTTATTTACCTACTATAAGTTAAATATTACAACTATTTTCTGCCAGTGGCTTCACCATACCAGAGTCAAAAGTTTCCTAGATCAAACTGTGCTACATTTGAAATCCTCTGCAATACAATTCAGGGACATTAATTTGTTATTTAGGAATAGAGTAAAAACACTCATTTCGTATCCTAACAGAAAAACTGTAAGTAATATAATAGGCTCAAAGGAAAAGCAGATCTCACTGTTTTTCCCTTATAGGTCGATAGAGAACATTCCCTACAAGTAAGAAAATGTAGAATATAAAATTAAACGAATAAACATAAAAATGGTGTCCTTTATCATTAATTCAGGGATACAAACAGAGATAACCATTCTAATTATACTTTATCTCTTCAATCACTTTGATAACCCAGTTTATTTCATCGCCATCTTACTCTTGACGTGTGGACTAAATTATTTTTGTAACACGAATACACACTAATTTATGATCCACTAATAGCCTATATAATAATTGCTCCGGCATTGTCTTTTAAATAAAAGTGGGCAAATACTGTAATATAATGTTTAAATTTTATTTAGTCAGACTAATTATGTGACATATACATAAAGATTGTCTGGAACAAATCACCTGTGTGATAAGACCGCCCATTGTACGGTAGTTGTAAGCATGTTATAGATTTTTTAATAATGCACACAATAAAGTGTAAAATAAATATATAAATACATATTTTTCAAGTTGCACATATTTTAATAAAAAAAACTTTTCTATTGTAGATCAAGCATGCACAAAGTGTTTGAAACCGTGCAGTGTGCATCGCGATGGTCGACTCAGTCCGGTCCGTCGCTGCCCGGTTCCGACGTCGCGGATGGTCCATCGTCTGGAACGGCCTTCATGCGGCCACCAGTCAAACCTTCTAGCGACTCCTTCCTCGATGACACTTCGGATACCGACTCGGACGACTTGTACCCGTAAGTTTATTTTTTTACCTGGGCTTCTTATTCAAGATAACTTGATAAACTATCAAGAAATGTATGCACAAAATGAGTAAAGGTGGGAGAGCCATGCTTCGGCACGAATTGGTCGGCTCGACCAAAATGATACCACGGCCTCACAGAAAACCGACGTGAAACACGGCGTTGTGTTTCGCCGTGTGAGTGAGGTTACCGAAGGCCCAATCCTTCTTCTCCCCTAATCCTTCCCCATTCCCAAAATCTCCAAATCCCTAATCCTCAAAAGGTCGGCAACGCACTCGTGACTCCTCCGTCGTTGTAGGTGTCCATGGGCGGCGCTGATTGCTTACCGTCAGGTAATCAGTTTGCTCGTTGGCCGACCTATAACATAAAAAATAGTTTATGATATTTCATCAAAAATTACAATGAATGAGAAAAATTTTAATATGTAATAAATATAAATTTTCAATACACAGCGGAGGTCCAGGCGTAGGAGTGCCTGGCGCTCCGGGCGCGGCGGAGCTGGCGGCGGCCCTGCGCCGCCTGACGCCGCAGGAGATCAACTCGCGCCGCGCCTCGCTCACTGCCAGCCACGTCCTAAGACAGCGCCGGTACACCGGTACGTTACCACTACATTACTTCCCATACCTACCTCAAAAATGTACAAAATATTTACACTGTAAACTCGTTTTATAACTGTTTATTTAGCTCTTATGAATGTCTCAAAGATATTTATATCATTATTGTTACACATGCTTCGATAAAGATGTTTATTTACACAATCGATGAGTTTGATTGTTCAGCGCGATATTTCTTTGTTTGAAGTGCATCTTAATCAGTTGGTATTTCATAATTTAAACTGTTGTAGAGCGCGACTCGAGCGAAGAAAGCGCTGTATGGGGTGCCGGTGCGGGTGGCATGGCGCGGTTTCGACCGCCACACAAGTTGCAAATTGTCAAACCTATGGAGGGCTCACTCACCTTACATACTTGGGCTCAGCTGGCCAAACCCTCCATGTCAGGTATGTTAATACGTTGTTATTAAATTGTTGTAATTTTGGTACATAATATTGATGATTTTATTTTAAAATCGACATTGATATTTCAGGCTTGCTAGAAGAACAAGAGGGCGTAGGTATCCGCGGCTCTAGATCGTCAGGGCTCGGGACGCGGCTTTACAGACTGTCAGACGTCGAGGAAGACGACGACATGCCACGTCTACCACATTCTAGTCACATTTATACATTCGTTAACAGGTAGGTTGTGTAGTTATTGATGTGGACCGAAGTAGTCGTATGTGAAGGATGCGAGTAGTAAGGTGTGTGCGTGTTGCAGTACGGTGCTGCACCCGAACGACGGCAGCGTGGCGGACAGCACGGCGAGCAGCGTGTGCAGCTCGGGCATGAGCAGCCTGGCCAGCAGCGTGCTGGGCAGCGCGTGGAGCTCGCGCCGCACGTCGGCCGGCGGCTCGCCCGTGCACTCGCGCCGCGACTCCGTCTGTCTGCCGCCCTCGCGCGCGCACTTCACGCCCACCGCCACGCCCGCCAACAGCCCGCTGCTGGGCTCGCCCGACTCCACGCCGCCCGCCTCGCCGCGCCCCGGCGACGCGCCGCCCTCCTTGCACGCACTCATCGCCTCGGGCACCTCCATTCTGCGCCGTCGCCATCTGGCCTCGCCCGGCGGTGACGGCTCGCCCGCGCCCATAGCCCTCCAGACGCCCGGCTCGCTCTACACTGGGCTCATGCATCGGAGTCCCATGGAGCAGCTCACGTGCCTCAAACGTACTCTACGCTCACCTGCCGCGCCCTCATCCGAAAGGCGTCTAGGAGAACCCGTAGAGCCACCGTTGGGAGTTCCAGCCCACCCCGGTTCTGGCGCCTTGGACGCAGCGAGTACTCCAGGCGCACCGGGCTGCTTGAGACGAGCGCCCAGAGCTCGTGCGCCCCGCCCCCGCTCGGACCTGGGCACGGTGGGGTCGAGTGTGCCGGCGCCAGCGCCGACGGCGCCGGCACACTCATCGCAGTCGTCGGCGCTGGGCACGTTGAGCCTACTCTTCGGTCGGAAAGGAGGTCTTCTCTAGACGAGTCCGTCTTCATTTATCCACGAGCGACAGTGCATCCTCATAAGTAGGCGAACTCGTTGGTTAGGTTTTCACCGTCCCTTGATTTTGTTCTCTGAAATATAAAATTATTTTAGATTTTTTTTATGTTTTGACGTGTGTATTTTGGAATTATTTTGTTGAGTCGAGGTAGGCTCGAGTGCATTTATAATAATGTAGGTGCGTCATGGTCATCTCCCATAACAACATCTTTAAAAATGTAGGTGTCTTATTATGCACATATATTATGTAAGCATTTAGCTTCATTTATGCGTAATTTGGCAAATTCATTAGATTATGTTCGATTTTTGGCATTTTCTACCGGGAGTGGGCGTAGTTTGCATTTGATTCTGAGAATTAAGGAAACGTGAGATTTGATTGAACATCTAAATTAAACGACTCCTCATCACACGAATTATTAATTGTTTATACTTAAATGTTTTTATACTTAATTGATGCTATTAATTTGTAGTTATATGAACCAAACAATCCTGAAACAGAAGTCTGTAGTATTATATTATAATTATTTAAGGGTTGTAACATTTGTTAGGTTAGGTAAATAGTGAGACTTAACACTAGGTTTTGTAGGTGCTTTATAAGAAATAATTTACATATTCCCAAATCTCATCTCATTGCGTAGTATTTTCATGCTTATGATTATTACTATTTCTCTAGTTATAAATTTTGTATGTGATTGTAAATAATTGAATTTCCATTAACTTAGAAGAGTACAAAGTATTTATGTTTATAAATCCGATTTAGTGTAATTCATAATGAATAGCAGATTGTCATCATCATTTTTTCTAATTAAATCCGTTTTATACCATTGTATTGGTATGTATTGGCATTAAATACAATCAAAATCGATTAGTTAAATCAGCAATTTTTTCGTGTGTAAATTGTTAATAACATAGGGTCTGAGTAAAATAATGGTGCATGCCATAGGATAAGTAGTACTGAATTCTTTTTTAAATTTGTTAATTCAATGGATACTGGTATAAGTATTCACTTTCATTTATTTCGTAATGGCCGTCAGTTGATGCTTTATTTCACAGTTAATGTTAGGTTATTAAAATTGGTGCTAGATATTTGTTTTCAGCCAGTGAAGTATCGTATTCATTGTGTTTGTTCATTCATAATTTGGGCCAGGGTTTCACTGTTATGTTCATAATACAACAATATTCATTACATGTAAAGACGCAGTAACATGTGAAAGGGCTGTGAGGTGATTGAATGGTTACGAGTGTCTGGTAAATATCTGAGATTACAATAATACTACAGTGAGATAGGCACAAACTGTACGTAGTCTAAGGAGAATTGTTGATATTTTGACGATAATGAAAAAAGGAAAATGATTGAATTGTAAAGAGATATAATATAATTTATTGAATGAAAATGTGTTTTATTGCACTCACCTGAGGTCCTACAGTGTGCGCTGTGTTGTTCTTTACCCCAAGGATTCTCCCGAACTGCACCTGGTAATTCATATTTGTTGACTGGCTCAGCTTACGACCAATTGGGTAGTTTCCTAGGTGAAATATAAATTAATTTGATGTTTCAATACAATAAAATATTGAAAAATAACTATACTTTTATTCATCGATCGATCGATACTCTACTTTTAGCTATTTTTTAAGAAATTATTATGCTATTTGACTCAAAAATTCTATGACGTCATAACTCAGTGTTTCGTAGAATATAGAAAAGTATAGCTTTTGACATTTGGATAACAGTATTGAATTTGACTAGTTGGAAACTACCGTATAATATTAATTTTACCCTGAAAAATAAATCAAATACATACCAGAACCAATGAAAGGTAATTATGTTTTTGAGAATTTAAATACAAAAACGGAAAACGGGAGACTGGAGAAGAGACGGTTTGGTTTTTGGTAAGAGTAGTCTCCTTGCCTTACCTACCCTGGGCGAGAGAAGTAATTTGATGAGTTTAAATCCGATTAAAACACAGGATTAAAACAAATGGTTTCATTTGGTAAGAGCGACATCTATGATTACGGTATGAAAACCGGCTATAAAAAATTGAAACGTACATAAAAACGCCCGAACAGAAAACGACGTAGTCTGCATTCATTTGCAATAGATGGCGTACAAAGACTTGGTTCTATACTATTTTTAAATTTAATGCATTATTACGATACTATTTAGCAATATCAGATGCTTTTAATGGTTCGTTATAGACATTAAACAACACGCTTTTTTTGCGAATACAGAGACGTTGTACATAAAAGCAGGTAGGGAGAGCAGAAGTTACCTGTGTGGGCACTTTAAAAAGTGTATATTCACGTTTACATCTATTTTTTATCAGTTTTGATAGGAGCCTTCATAAGTTAGACCTATTAGCTCTGTCTACGTTGTTCAGGTTTTTTTCTGAACTGAACATTGAAAACTTCCTAAGCTACCAGAGTGAGAATTCTTGAACAGAAATTCAAGTTCAACATTGCAATCAATGATCGCAAGCGCGACCGCCGAACCTGAGTTTGATTCCCACTAAGGCAGAATATGATGCTCAACATGAAGCAAAGGAAATAAAAAGGTTCTTATGGTTTATAACTTACCTATTCGATTGTCAAATAAAATCTAAGCAAAATAAAATTCTTTTCAGTTTGGGTACCTATTTTAATTACAACAAAAATACGGAATATTGAATCTCTTATTAAGTGTCTTCCTGAAAATCTCTGGTTTGTTAGCCCTAAAAGCAAAAAAAGAAGAATAATTTGTGTCACAAGGTTTCCATGGCAACGTCTCGTGTCAACGAAACTTTGTCCTTCGTTGTAATCCCGTTGAATTTTGCATTCTTTAATTTTGTGTGGTTATTCTAAGTGAATTTCTTAACTTACATTGTGTAAAATGTCGGAGCAAATGAAGTATATTGTGAAAGAAATAAATGCGACGTTGGGGAGAAACTATGATCTGATAAAATTCGATTCTTTGAACGAGAAACAACTTCTGCAGTTGCTTGTGGATCTACTTGTGAATTTCAATGCCGGAGAAAAGGTTTTTATTTATAATAGCAACTTTGTGCTCGTTTTATAAATCCATTCATTGTTATTTTTGTATTGGAAGTGGGGATATTCTTTTGAGAGTGCTCCCGCTGGGTTTTAAGCTCTATAGATATCTAAATACGTTTTCAGTGGTAGATAAAATTGTACTTGTGGTGTCTATCGTACCTGTTTATTATTTGCTATCTATAGACAAGACATATTATATTTCTTTTTGGTCAATTTTTGGCACCCTAGAAATCAAATACTTTGACTGCACGGTTGGTGCGGTGACTGGGCAACCGACTGCCGTGCTACGTGTCGCGGGTTCGATTCCCGCACGGAACTCTTTGTGTGACCCACAAATTGTTCCGAGTCTGGGTGTCATGTGCATGTGAAATTGTATGTTTGTAACCGCACCCACGACACAGGAGAAAATCCTAGTGTGGGGCAACGTTTTATATAGTATATAAAAAAAGTAAGTATTTAATCATTTATTCTTATTTAACCTTATAGTTAGACGTAAACGAAGATGATTCAGAAACTGTATCGCTGCGTCTGTTAGAGATGTTGGGGAGTGTGAAGTATCGTCCTCCGGGAGGAGTGGAGCCGACACGGTTCAGAGCTCAGCTGTTAGCTGGCGACGCAAGGATTATACATCATGTGCTGCACTGGCTCTTGACTAATAGAGATCAGGTCAAGAACACTGCATATCTTGCAAAGTAAGTGGGTTACAAAACATTATTTACTTAAGTTCAATGATATGAAATTAAAAATTAAAAATTATTACTATCTAAACGTTCTATAACTATCTATTGTATTTTTATGTAATAGGACGCCAAATCGACGTATTACCTACCTGATGGTAAGCAATCAGCGTCGCCCATGCATGGACTTCCACAACAATGGAAGAGTTAGGACTGCGTTGCCAACCTTTTGGCAATTAGAAATGGCAAGGATTAGGCCTACGGTAACCACACTCACCAACCAAACACAACGCTGTGATTGTTTCACGCCGGTGCCAGTGTTAGGTCGTGGTATCACTCCGGTCGCGTCGCCTCAATCGTGCTTAAGCATGGTTCTCCCACACTTAATAATATATGTAATACCTATTATGACACGTAATACCTGTTATTCGATTCTGTCTTGTCTTTAACTAGGTAACTACCTACCTAAATGTTTTAAAAACAATACACAATTTGGGTGTTGCCCAATACATATAATAGGTAGGTATATCGAGCTACCTTGTTATACCCGTAATGAATGGTTGGCTAACTTTCTCTTAGCTTTCATTTACCGATAACTGTTTGGGTATATTCGGGAAAACGAATTAGGTACAGCAGTTATAGATTAACTGAAATTGGTACGACCGAGTAAGGCAATACGTGACTGGAACATACAATGTATGAACGTTCTCTTCCTAGCACATAAACAGTTGTTTGGATGTGAAATCTACCGATGTTACTCCTTTTGCTGTAATGCAATTACAACACGACGAAAGGATTCATTTAATTTGTTCTGTCCAAAATTCTTTAATTTCGTCGTTGAGTTAATAGTTCTTTTTAGGCTTTCTTAGAATAATGTGTCTATCATCATCATCGGCATTATTATCAGCTTATAAGTTCCTATTGCTGAGCAAAGGCCTCTTCTTAGGTATTGGAGAAGGTTTGAGCATTACTTAATCATCATGCTTTCTCAAGGCGGATTGGCGATTTCAAACTTTTAATTAGCAATTAGATAAAGGTCCAGGTTTCCTCATGCTGTCTTCCTTATCCGTGTAGTGTGTCTGGGAAAAGGCCACATTGGTAGGTAATTGCCAAGTTTCGAACCCGCACCCGCATGAGAAGAGGACAACTTAACCTTCGAGCTACCGCGGCGTTGACGTGGTAACAACATGTCTATGCTTTAGGTAATTGAAATATCTTAATCGTAATTATAATTGTTTTCCTTTAGATATTTAAAATTACCGGATATACCTCCAGATGTAGCAAGGAACAACACTGTTCAGGACTTGCTTGATCTTTACCAGAACTTAATTGATGAATTTAAAGAGGTGCACAAACGCACTCGACTGCTGCAGAAGGAGAATGCCGCGGAAATAATTAACGATATCAAGGAAATGGCGCTTGAGAGAGATATTGGTAAGACATAGAATGTATGAAAAGTGTGGATTTTTTAAATGTGAACTATAAGTTTTACAAAGTTTAGGTATGTAATTGACTGGGAATAAATTTTATCTTAAAGGTAGGTACGTTATTGTCATTTCAAAATTAAAGATTAAGGATTTAAGTTATTTCGGTTTTATAGTTTCTGTAACACTTATCCCAGGTCATATAAACGCCATGAAAGCTAATACTTTTTTTTGTGGGGAGTTCCTACCTCGGTCTATTATTTACGTTATTTTATAGGGAAGAAGGTATTAAATGATGAATTTTAACCACCTAGAAAAACATGTTTTTCTCCAACTCGATGAGGTTTTCTTTATAAATGTTATGTTATATTAACTTTAAATCCTTAATGTAATTAACGTTACAGTGATAAAGAGATTAGAAAACGTACAAGTTAATCTAGTGGACGTAAATGACAAGGAGGAGCTTTTGAATATTAGTAGAGCACTCAGAATCCAGCAAGAAAAGGCTAAAGAACTTGAAAATCAGGTAAAAGAAATGTTAAGAACCTATTCTGGATCAGTAGAATTGAGTAGCTTCTGAGTCATTTATACCTACGCAGTTCATTTTAATCAAATCTCTTTCAGTACGATGCACAGCAATCACAGTTAAAAATGGCGTCTGATCAATTAAAAAGATATCTCAACGTCATTCATGGTCAGAGTTCTACTCCGAAAACTGTTAATGACGTAATGAAACGTCTACAAGAAGAAGTTCAGGTAATGTTATTAACAGTTAACAAAATGAAATCTTTGTTGTAATTAAATTAGTGTTTTTTATGTTAAAGGATGGCAAACGAAGGCATGGATTACCTGATGGTAAGCAATCAGCGCCGCACTGAGACACTTGCAACACCAAAGGAGTTACGAGTGCGTTGCCGGCCTTTTAGGGCTTATCCCTATCGTTTTTGGATATTCAAGGATTGGGGGAGCGGAGACGGATTTGGCTTCCAGTAACCTCGCGCACACGGCGAAACACAACGCTGTGGTTGGTTCACGTCGGTTTTAGCCGCCGTGGTATCACTCCGGGCGGTCCGACCCATACATGCCAAAGCTTGACTGTCCCACACTTAGAAAATTATGAGGTGTGTGGTGGTGTTCAATGAAATTTTTAATAAGTTTATATTAATATTTCAGCTTAACAGTTATTTGGTAAAAGAGAAGCTTCCATTAGAGACATCAAATCTTCAAAAAGAGTTGAATATAATGCAGTCAATCGCTGCTGAACAACATCCGACCCGTTCCGACTTAGTTGCGGTGCAGGATAAGGTAAATTTAA